TTTAAGTCCAGTTTTACTTTGAGATATTAGAATGCTTATCAAACATTTTTTAATTGGTTATAAGAAAGGGTTTTACAACACACTTTATATTCGATTTAATTATTTTTAACACGACATAGAATATCTTTATATTCTTTAGATATATTTTGTAAGATGTTTTTTTGATAAATCGAATTTGTATATTTTTTACGATTTATATACATCCCTGCTGCACTTGGTGAGCATGTGTGCGCGGCTGGTTCAAGGGGCAGTGACCATAATTAATTGGCCATTTACTGCAGCTTCCCTGCAAGTCGTTTGCGGTTAAGCAGGAGACAATGGCTTCATAAATTCAGCTCTTGGAGAGCAGTCTCAGCCGGCTAAGTGCCGCTCCACGGGTTGGTTGTCCTGACCCGCCCCGCCCACCGAGATGGGCAATCCCCTTCGCCTTTGTCTTTATCACTGTCCTTATCAGAAGGCAGTGCACTGGAAAATGTCCTTGCCCGCCGTCAGTCATAATCAGGGATACAAGACCATTTGCCAGCCAACGCTCCCAGGACCCAAAAACAATTCGCTGTCGTTTTGGTCAGCTGAAGCCCGAAAAACCGCTTTAAGATGGCCAAGATTGGCAGTCGGAAAATTGTCTCGGCATGCAGGGTATCCTTTCTAAAGGAAATTCTCAAGCTGGGCCAGCTTTAAAGTCCTGAAAAAATAACAATTGGGGGCCAAAGCAAGGCGGAAATCATCTACATTATAAATCATACCAAAGCGTCAAGACGTAAATTTTTTATACCGACTGGGGAGAACATGGGAACCCAAGAAGCTCGTGCGTTGTATGTTCGTGGAATTCTTAATAAGGGGAAGATTATTTGCGTATTGGTTTATGAGTAATAAATATTTTTGGAAACTTTATTTTATAAAATACTTTTTATCCCTTTATAAAAGTAAGCGAAAAAAGGTATTCAAAAACATTCATTACAAGAGATGGCATGTTCTGACCCCTTTTCAAATTTATAGTAGGTAACATTCTGACTATAAAAAACCAAATTTTAGTTTACCACAATCCAAAAATATTATAAAATGTCAAAAGTTTAAAGCATTTAAACATAATTAATTTTATTCAATATCATGTAATTTGCCTCAGCCTCAAAGGCCATAATTGCTTCAAAACAAATTACAACTGTTATTGAAACCCCTCAGGAAAGTGAGGACTAATCTGTAAGCTAAACCCTCAATAATCTGAAAAGAAAAGAAACTCTTACAAATTGAGAACTTGACCTTTTCCGCGGCAGCTGTTTTAGAGCGATTAAGTTATCCGGGGTTGCCACGATACACCCCAGCTGGCAGCCTTCCTCGGGATTATTCCCCGGCTCGTCTCAATTTCCATTCATCATTATGCAGATTCATGTCTACAATATGTTCTTTTAAAAAATAAATACCTATTTAAAAAGGAGAGCGAGCAAGAGCACTTTAGCATAGTCTATGCAAATTAATAAGCAACTCACTTAGCGCTGACTTAAATGCAGGCAAACTGTTGTAAATGGCGTTTTAATCAACGTACCAAGACAACAAACGAAATTAATTAAATGTTCACTTCATGGCAGGGATCTCCGCTAAACCAGAACGGAGCGCCCCGCCCACTTATTATCTCGGGTCTGCTCCGGGTTCCGAGTTCCGAGCTCCGAGCACAACCCTCCGAACCCATCCTTCGAACATCCTCCACGTAGCACGTCAATTTTTGCATTTTAATGATATTTGAACCGCGGTGTGGCCGCGGTCTGTTCGACCCCCGATATGGGGTTGCATAGGTTTCGGTGGGTTGGGTAAACCAGATGGTGGGGTTGGTTTCTCGCTGCCCACATAACGATGATGACGATGACGATGGCGCTGGCGAAGACCCTGGGCAGTTGTTAGCGATATGATAATGAATCGATAAATACTCTTCCAGCGAAAGGCCACAAAAAAAGTTTTGGCGTCGAATAGATTATTCTAAATAGGTTATGTTTCGGGGAAATGACAAAGCGAAAAGTTCTTTCGGAACTTTGAGAAGGAATTTTCCGTTTTTTGTACATTTATATTTAAATGAGGGTGCTTTTCATGAATTATTTAAACAAAAAGTACAAGGAGACGACTTTACACTCTATTAACTTGTAAAATAACAAATTCACCTTGAAGAGGTCTTTTTAAAAGGTTTCAGAAGATTACATTATTTAGATTATAATAATTCCATAAAATTCAAACTACAATGGAAATCTCTTCCGACTAAAAATCCTGAAAGACTCCATTGTGAATAGAGAATTAATTACGTTGCTGGCCGCCTGATTTCGGGCCCCAGTCTGCAGAACGTAATGGTCTTCGCTACAATCCAAATCCCCGGGCCCCCAATTGCGGTTTCTGAATCCGTGAGGCTCCAACGAAGTGATTTTTTTGGTTGGCCTCCCTCTGCCGTCCGTCGCTTAATTGAAAAGCAATTAATTTTTTGGCCTGCATTAGGATGCCTGCTAACCAGCCTGTTTCCCAGCCCGGTTCCCAGTGGGCCCTGAATTATTGACAAAAGTTAAGTGAGCAACTGCACGGGCCGAAATCATAACCAGACATCGAGGTAAATTGAAAGGCAACCTCGAGTGGGGCCCCTTCGGTTGTGGGTCTCTGGAGAAATTTGAAAATCCTAGCCACAAACGTCTGACTGACTGTCAATGGGGCTTACTGGAGGCCCTCCACACCCCACTCGAAAAGCAGAAAACCAGATTACAGTGCGGCAAAGGGATCTTAGACCAAAGACCAAGTCAAAGGCAATTCCATGGGCAACGGCTGCTGGCCTTGAGAATGCCAATCGTTTTATGGTCGTGTCGTGGCCTGAGATCTCCAGTTCCTTAGCTGTCCAAACTCGTTGTTATTCTGGTTAGGGGTGGTCCTCCAGTCCGGGGCCTCCATCGCTCAGATTGGCCGTAAAAATGTCACCTGTGACTTGCGACTGTGAGAAATCAAATAAATTCAAGCAGCTGTCCGCGCTGCCTGCCTTTACGCATTTCTTATCAAGGCATTTGCCTCATAAACACACTGACATATAATATACATTTACATACCCACCCGTGCCTTTTCAGTCTTTTGCATAATTTATGCAGAACTTAGTAACCAATAAAAATGGCAAGTGGTATAAAAAGATCATAAAACAAGTACTTGGAGGGAAGGTAACATTCGTTTCGTCTTAAAAGTACCTTAGACTAGAATTTATCATTTGAAGTCCTAATCAAAACTTCTAAAAATATTTTTTTTCTTCACAACTAAAACCCAACAAAATGGGTACAAAATAACTTAGTACTGCAAAAATTGTTGGATTAAAATTCGAATGACATCGTTTGACCATCTCGAGACTTATTAAATATGGATCAATTTTAAACGCTTCACTCTCATATTGGTTTCAAAATAAATATTTTTGTTAATCGGATGGAAACCAAGTTATAAATAACACGCTTTTCCAAGAGAAAGTCAATGTTTGCTTTTGGCTTTTTACGGTAACGAGTAAATATGTAAATATTTTCAACAGAATGTGCATATTGCCTTTAGAAAAATAAAGAGTTGAGCAAATATTAAAGGAAAAATCTCACAAACGGCAGATGTTAGCCCAAACTCAAACTTCTCTGAGCTATAAAATATATGATTTTTCAACCATTGGATAAATATTTATTACATAAATATAAAACTGTATTTAAAAAACTGTGCCTAACCTTATTGCCTATCAATTAACAAGTAACAATTACCTCCTTGGCTAACAAATAAAAAATAAATATAAGCTGTTCCTTTGACCTCAAATTCGGAAACTCTCTAGCCCAAAGTTGATTTAAATGCAAATGGAAAGGAGGCAAACGCCTGAGACGGCATTCGAGGAACCACCTCGGCAATTTTCGCCTCAATTGCGAAATTTCGGGGACCCGAAATTGCCTTGAAGACCAGTTTCACTGGCCATCAACGAGCATTGCCGCGGTCTGATATGCAAATTGAAATGCGTTTTCCTTTAACGGAGCTCTATTGCCCTCTATCTCCGCACCTCTTTGAGCCATCTTTGGATTCCGTGGGACCCCACCAACTGGTTTCAGGACTGCATATTGCTTCAGGCTCACAAAATCCTTGACATGTCCACGCATATCACGTATACGCAGTGTGCGCTTCAAAAGGTTGGAGATTTTGTGATTAAGCGGACTAAGTTGGATAAATCGAAGCTTAAGAAATGAGAAGTGGTAAACGAGTTTCGTGAGAAATCAAAGTCCCACTAATGAGTGTAGCAAAATATCAATCATCAGAGAACAAGTGGCCGCACATGTTTATCACTCATGCAGGCTGCGTCCCCAGACAATAATGATTAACATTACGTATACGCCGGGCAAACTTGACCAATTCCCACCTGAACAGCATGGTCATTAGCATTCGCCCTAGTTGGGCCAAGCAATCAATGCATTTGTTTATCGAATCAACAATTGATGGATGACTGGACGATTGGATGACTGGCATCCATGTCAGGGGGGATCAATTAGAATCAATCGAAAGCTGTTCGGGCTGTCTTTTGCTGGCTCTCCCCACTCGAGGGCCCATTAAAATTAAAGGGAAATTTGCATTTTTAATTAAGGAACCGTAAAAAGTAAACAGAGTACGTGCCTCCCCCACCACTTTCGCTTTATTTTTCTTCTTTTAAATGCAATTGGGTTTTCCCTAATGTTATCTCTTTTCGCTCCTTTTTTTGCTTTTGGCATTTTTGTGCTTTTTTTTACTGCTAACTTATTTGTTTTTTCGCAAAACAAAATAAAAGTTGAATGCTTTTTTTGGGACTCGGGCCTCTCCCAGTCCTTTTGGCAGCGGAATAAAACTTTTCTTTGTGAGAGCCAAAGAAAAGGCCGCAAGAAAAGTTGACTGGAATTCAATTTGTTCGGCTCGTAATGAATATACTTGGGGATATGCCTTGGCTTGCCCCAACAAACATGTCAAACTTATTAACAAATACATTTTTGTGTTCCGCCCAGACTCACCTCCCCCGCCGCCAGATGCTTTGGCAAATTGATTTAATTTCAAGTTGGTTTGCAGTCAGTTAAACTTGAACTCTCACACTGGCCGTTAAGTATTATTGTTGGGCCCTGAGACAAGGGCGGAAGGGCGAAAAGTTTTTGGCCCGGCTAACCACGGGAAAAAGTACGTAAAACAGAGGGTATAAATAAAAACCGAAAACTGGCGACCGCCGACGTGTCAACACGGCGTATACGATATATATATATATGAAAATACGTGGAGAGCAGGGGCTCGAGACACAAAAACCAAAAACCCGCAAGGATGGAGGCACTCGAGCACGTTCCGGCACTTGTTTGGTCTCCTTTCACTCCCTCACTCTCACTTTCGCTATCAGTTCTTAACCGCACAATGACAATACTTCAGCCTGCCGTCGAAGACAGTTTTCTCCTCAGCTGGAAAATCTCTTCTGGGATTTTCCTCTGGTTTTTCCTCCGATTTTCGCGTCCGCCGTCAACGAAGAATCACAGGCAACTGAACGGTCTAACTTCGGGCGGCTGAGTGGCCGACCAACAGGTTTGCTGCTGATAAGACCTCGTGAAAGGCCGAGGAACTCGAGTCGTTTCGCTCGCTACGTATACGTGATATGCATCATCGTCGTCGTCGTCGGCACATTACGTATACGCCGCGTTGTGCTCACTCAATTGCAGGGGCGTTGAGTGGGCGGGCGGGCATCGAGTGAGTGAGTTTCCATGGTTTCGAGTCCTGAGTGCTGCCCGTCAATTATCTGCGAGCCGGGGAGGTGAGTGAAAGGCTGTTTTTGCCCTTAAATGAGCCGTAAAACCGAGGAATTCGGTAAAGTGAACTTCATAAATCCATCGCAAAAAACCTGTGATGTCATGTTAATGTTTTAAAAGTCGAAAGTTGTCCCGCAGACCTTTAAGCTCGTTAAGTGGCCTCGCGTAAAATTTTAATTTTTTCACAGAAAAATATATGAATAGATTACTTGCCTTAAATGTATTTCAATTTCCTTACATAACTACAGTTCCAATTTATTGTGCTTATGGATACTGTCCCAATATACTGACTTAGAACAATAAATCACCAAATATGTTACATTTAACAAAATATATTTTTACAGTATTTATAAAACTTTCTTTTGTTTTCTTGTGCAAACAAAATTTAAAAAATTAATCAATACCACCAAAGAGCAATAAACTACAAAATATGTTACATTCAACAAACTATATTTTTACAGTATTTATAAAACTTTCCTTTGTTATCTTGTGCAAACAAAATATTAAAAATTAATCAACATCCAATGATTAAAAGCGCTTTGTTTCCTCTTTCTTGATTAATTTAAAGTGGAATGTCACATCCTCAACCAATTAGCTAATCAAGCTTTAACTTTATTTTCCTGCTACACCACTGATGGACCATAAATTTGTCCCATCCAATCATCGCCATCAGCCTCTCTACTTCACCTTACTAAACTTCCTCATACAAGTTACGTTCCATCACCTCATTCCGTCACCTTTCGCAATTTAATACCCTGCACTTGCAGAACTTATATGGTATTTACAATATTTATAAGGATAACTTGTTTTTAATTTTAAATTTCTTAGTTGTGAACAACAATATGTAATATGTTTTTAAAACTTGTATGGTTTTTAAAGACAAAAAATAAAATAAAATAAAAAAATGCTATAATAATAATAATTATTATGAATTAACAATTATTTTATAGCAATAAGAAAATGTCTTCAAGTCATGACACACTTCTACACTACAGAGCTGAATTTTTATTTGATTGTTCCCATCACATATCTTATCTTTCAATAAAGACTCACCCTTAGTGGGTGTCCCCAGTTCGAAATCCCAGCTCACATGTCCTTATTTGTTTTGTTATCTGTCGCCGGGAAGTTCCACAGGAAATCACAAGCAGTCAAGGGCATTCTGGGTGGGCTACAGGGGATGTGCCAACTGATGCAGCTGCGATTTATTTATTAAAGCCAAGTCGACAAACAGTTTCCACTTGGTGCGAGACTCCTTGGGAGCCACTGATTGTCGTCGTTTTCCCACCGCCCTCGGAATTACGCTTCATATTTTTTAAGCACCTCACCTGACACATTTATGCTCTGGCAAAAGTGAAGTGAATAGTGGCCGCTTTCGCAGAATCCAACCTGCCGACGCCGCTCCACTTTCTCGCCCCCTCAGCCGATTACCATAAACAATGGCAACTTACTACCTGAGACGACTCATCCTTATTTTCAGCCTGGGTCTCATCCTCTTATGCGAAATTTGTGTAACGTATTCAAGCGCTGCTTTCATGAATTTTTATTTACATGGCATACGAACATATATGCCAGATTGTAAGAAAATCCGTGTTGAGCATACGCCAGGCAGAGTTTTTGAAGAAGAAGTGACAACACACGCCAAAATCGCAGCCTAAATTTGGATGAGGATAAACGCTATTAACTCTTAACCTCAAGAGAGGGTTTCACTTAATACTGAATTAAAGTTGAATCTAAAATCTTTTTTTAATTAAAAACGGAAGAATGTTTTGCCTAATTTAGAAAGTTACATAATTAAATTGCTTAAATTGTAACTTACAAAATTTAACTTACAACACCTTCTAGTTACGTTTTACTTAAATTTCAAAATGTAAGAAATAACTCACGATAGAGAAATGTTGCTATGATAATAAAATGGTTTTATCCCCTAGATAAATACGCATACGATTTAATCTCGACTCGATAACCCCACCAAAAATCACAACTGGGTGATAGCTTTGATTCCATAAAATATTAATCATTTAAATTGCTAAAAATTAGATGGTGCATTTGTAATTCGTCGTAAGTTGGTGCAATTTTTCCAAGCCAATCCAGAACTCTCCATCCGGGTTACCAAATCCCTGCAAAATCGATGTCATGGAATTGTTACCAAAATCAACACTACCGTCACATCGATTCTGGATCGTGGTCCCAGTTCCACATTTATCTTTTTTTTCAAGTTTAACTTTAAGGTTTCTATTTATTTGACTATACATACCTATATTTTATAAAAAAAAGGTGAAGAAAGAAAATAAAAGAAAGAATGAAATGATTTATATTAAAGCACAACCCATCCCCTGCCCAAAGCCACGGCCAAAAAGACAACAAATTTAATTTTGGTTCATAATTTCCCTAAGACTTTATATATTTCTGCCTCTCAGCTGCTCAGTTGACGCTGACCTTTGCTGTGATTCTATATTTATCCACATGTGTTTTATGTATATTCGTATTTTTCTCATCTGGTGAATTTATTTTGAGCATTCATGTGTGCCTTTTTTTAATAATTGAGTATTGGGCAAAATTTCACACGAACTAATTTTTCTAATTATTACAAGAGTCAAGTTATTCGTCAACCGTTTTTACTAGATCTACTTTTTATATATCTGGTACTTTTTAAAATAAAGTTAGCAGATTTTTAAATTAATGGTCAAGCGAAATTCGGAGGTTGAAAAAGGAAACCAAAATTGAGTTTAATTGAAGACAATTATTTCGGCTTACATATTTTAATGATTCAGTAGTCTGGCTTACTGAACACACAAAGAAATGAACCTCATTCCAACACTGCAATTTATTCTTCACAAAATGTTTTTTCCTTTTTTTTTGTAAATTAAAAGAATTGGTTGAACAAAATTATTGCTCTTATTTCTTTGGCAAAAGATTAATGACACTTCTAAGAACTTAGTTTAGTCAGTCAATTCAAATAAGTCGCAAGTTTGTCGCTATGATTTATTTTAATATATGTATGTATGATTAATTCTAAATGAGTATTTTCTTTGTCATGGCTCGTCGGACTCCTATTAAAGCCTTATTACCATATTATAGGACACAAGGGTAAACTATGTTTGATCCAAAGAAAATCGCCCGGAGGCACAAATTTAACAAATTTAAAGGCGTAGGACAGCAAGTTAATAAAGATATAAATGCAAAGAAAGTTCACCAAAAATATTTGGGGTGGGAAAAGTACTACAATTGCTTTAAGTTCGAGAGGTTGTCGCACAGCACGAACAATGCTTGGCACTTATATTGGCAACTTTTTCTATTGAAATTATATTTATAGCTGCAGCTGCTGCTGGATAAGTTCGATACGAGACCAAATTATAGTCCAGACTACCTGAGTTGTGCATTCAGGATGGAATGGGATACGTGCCTGCGACGAGGTCCCCATCTCGCCGCCTTATTAGAGTCCACATATTGTGGAGCCATGGTGATGCTTTGCATATAAATGACCCATATGCACACATACGGATTTGGCTGCCTGGCCCACATGCGGCGTTAAAATAACTGCCTAAACCTATTCTCCCTCAACCGGGACGAATGCCACTTCAGTTCCCTCCTTGGCCTGGTCACTTTAAGGAGCCACTCCCGGCGACTTTCATTGTTAAGGCTCATTGACTGCACGGCCCCCGTTGGACACTTGGCGAATAGACATCTTGTTTGGATAAGATAAGCCATACGTTAGATAAATTTATCAATTCTTTTGTTACCAACTAAAATTTATTCAACGAATTGGCATTTTCAAAAAGTATCACTTAAATAAACCCTTGAACTTAAAGTAGAGTTAAATGGTATAGTGGAGTTACCCTACGCTTTTTAAAACACAAATTGTGTTTGAGCTTTTGTAGATCATAAAGTAAGTTTGGAAATTTCTTAAAACACAGTAACTGTCTCAAATGTATACCTTTAATTTATTACCTCTTTATTTGCAACCAAGTGTTGATCCCCAAAATTTGTGGGATTTCGTGCAGTGTGCCTTGTGAGGAGACCGAAAGAACCCAGAATTAAATCCCAACGCTTTATGGGCTTCTCATTCTAATATTTTTGGTCAGACCCAGCTGCACTTCGTCTTCATAAAAGTCGCTTTGAGGACCAACGAGAAATTTACATAAATTCGCCTCGGTTTCTGGACAAGTTTTCATCCTTTGCTGTTTTTCTCCCGTTCGGCAATCAATAAACGCACATAAATTTCCCTCTATCCGTTTGCAGTTCTTCTTCCATTATTTTGGCATCTTTCGTGTCTGCGTTTTCCTCATTCGTTTTTCCTTTTTTGTGGGCCAAAAGTTCTTATCGCCGGCTTAGCTGGCCTTCCTTCGTTGACGTTGTCAATGGAAAACACTGGGCGGGGTCATAATTTATTTCCCATAAAACACGAAATGAAACATTTCGGCTCGTAAATTATGAAAAAGAAACACGTTGAGGCATCAAAGTCAATGCTGGTTTTACCGACTTCAAGTAGGAGAAACAAGAATAATTGGCATGCAGTAAGCCAGTTGAAAGGTTTCCACTCTTTGACATTTTGAAATGCTTTCTTCCAAAGTCATTGCCAATTACACAGTTTATGAAAATGAGCTGTGAGTATCTATAACAATACTAACAAAACATTGTTAATAATGTTAAATCGTTATTAAAGTTATCACACATCTAAATATCTTCCTTCTTCTCGCAAACAAGAAGACTTTATTTTAATTAAACCTAAGTTTTAAAAAGAAAAACTTTTCCTCTGCTCAAATTCCTAACGATTTAAAGACCACCAAGTGCTTTTCATTACCTTGAAGACCTGCTCCAAAGGCTTGCTCTCTGTTCACAAAATAATTACTGCCCTTTAGGTCAGTTTATTGCAATTTTCCTGCCTTACTTTACGACTAAAATGGAATGAGGCCTAAAATTGCTGCTGAGTGGGAAATAAGCGGTGAAGGAATGTCTACTTTTAGACATGCCTCAATAATTTTGAGGCAAGATCGTAAAATCTTTACGCACAAACTGATAATGACCATTTCCGCGGCATTGTGTGTGGCCAAGAATTCAAACAATAAAGCAGGCCAGCATAGATGCCTTCATTTTAACGATTTGGGAACACTGTAACTGCCTCATGGAACTTGGACCATCAGGTATACGAGGTTGTGTAGCATTTTCCCCAATGCGTCTCTGATGTTGGTAGTCAATATCACACATACGCAACGTGGGCGCCAGGAGCTCTGATACCCTCTGAAAACCAGGTTACTTATGAAAGAGGGTTTGCTACGGGAAAGAACAAAACAGAGATTATTAGTTTAGAGTTTCTTAAAGAACTGGTCTAAAAACTGGGATTCGATTTCCTAGCGATCTAACTACATAATTACCCATTTAAAAAATTTCAATATAAACATCAGTCACTAATGGTCATCTCGGAGTCGCTGCCTTGAGTCCCAATGGCTCCTGGGTCTTGGCAAGTGTCATGTTTGACCAGCAGCAACAATAACAATGGCCCGGCACACACACATGCCGACGAATTGCGCTTTAAAGCCAATGTAATTCGAAGCTGGCTGGAATGTGGTCTACTGACAAACTGGGAAATGGGCAACTGGCTTTGGGCCTCGCCCCACTTTTGCCCAGTGGAGCAGCAACATCGATGACAATGACGCCAAATGGCGGAGGAGCTGCAGATGTCGCCCGTCCACAGTTGCTGCTCATATTTCCCTGATCCTGGCCAAAGGACCTCCACATCCCACACCCGTTGGCACGTGTGTGTGTGTGTGCGTGCGCTGTCAGCGTGTTGTGGCATAATTTATACGCTTATTTGTTAATTTCGCACACACTCTTTAGGAGCACAGAAGGACGCACGGCCAGATACATTACACAAACTCTTGGCTTAATTAAAAGTTAAGGCAACAAGTTTTCGTGCTGCCACAGCAGAGTTCCAAAGACAGGACGATACCCTTCTTTATTATAAGTAAATACCTTATAAAAATGTTTGTAAATAATTCTGAAAGCTATATATTGCAATGTAATTTATGCGAAACACTCGAAAAACTAGAGATGATGTAAAATTGATAAAGTAGAGTAGGTTTGTGAAAAAAATGAGATATCTTTTAAAAATCTGTGTTAAACTGAAGGTGTTTAGACACAAGTTAAAAAAGTAAAGATGATACAAAATTTAAAAAGCTACAGAATGGGATGCTTTCTTAATCTTCCTAGAAAAAAAAAATATTTCTAGGATCAATACATTAATAGGCTAGACTACAGACAAGCCGAAACTCCTGCAGAAACTCTTCCCTACAAATCATTAACTATGATACCAGCCGTGGCATTATCCTTATTGAATACCCCCGGTGACGGGACAACATATGCTCTCAATGAGCTATCCCTTTAGATAGTTTTCCCTCCGCGTTCGTAGGCTCGGAATATTTCAATTAATCAACTCATCTAGGACCAGCCAGCTTGATGGCCATTTCGATAAGCAGCGGAGCTCAAGTAGGGCACTGCGGTGGCGGATGGCTAAGCCGAGATGCTGGTAAGAGCAACAGGATAATTACTCGACCATATGCTCGAATGTCCAGCCCAGGAGCCGCAACAACAGGAGCAGGGCAAAAGCAACAGCAGCAGCAACATCAACCATCCAAGGCCAGTTGGACGACTTGAGTGCTCTGGCTTTTGCTGCGATGTAATTGTAATTTAGACACCACAAGCTCACACGAGGGAACAGTGCCGTGGGCACGATCTTTCCACAGGGGTTTTACAAGCATCAACATTTATTTGAGACTTTATATAACCTTCAGTTCCCAAATATATTTGTTGACGTTTCCTTGGATAATATAAATCAATAGGTTAATAAGATGAAAGGAGTGTTCGTAACAAGCCCTTAAATTGAACATTAGTAGTAAGTGCAATATGTGTTCGTTAAATAGTAAAGAAACTATTGCAGGAAGGTGTTTTTTCAGGATAACCCCCTCTAAAACGCCACTGCCAGGATGCGTACGTGTTTGTAACTTTGTCTATTGTGCATGGGTTGTGTAATTTTTTTCGCTGTCATGCGGTTAAACGTGCAAATTACGCGCCATTTTTATTCGTTGCGCCAGCCGTTGGTTGTTTTATTTCATTTTCTCACCTCATTTTTGCAGCGTTTTATCTCCAGCCTGGCCACACACTCGCACACCCGCAGAAAGGCACTTGGAGCCACGTGTGTGTTTAACCTAATTACAGGAGACTCGTCCTTTTCACTCAGGCTGGCTGCCAGGATTCTTGAATCTTAGGCCTTGTTGGGCTTCCGGCTGAGTTTGCTACCACCGACAGGGCAATAAACATTTAAGTCTGGTGTTTAATATTTTGAAGGGCCTTAAGAGAAATAAAAAAGAAATAAATTTTAACTACACAAAATATTTTATTAATATACCCACAGTATTTACGAAAAATGAACTGCTGAAGTATGGACATAATAATATTAAAATATTTATTTTGAAATTCAGTTATATCGCTTTAGTATTTTTTTCTTAGCCTGTTATAATAAGCATTTAGTATTAAACAATTTTAAATTCCTGATTGGATTATATAAAAGATACAAAAATATAATAGGCAGTATTTTTGAATTTAGGAGCCTTTTTTTGTAATTTTATTTTATTTTTTACTAAATTAAGGACAGTTATTTATTTTTTCTTAAGCCTGCATTACAAATCAAAAAATAAAATTATTAAATGGTGAAACATAAACACTTATAAGAATGTTGTAAGCTTTTAAAGTACCGAGGATTGTCCAGTCGCAAAAAGGAATCAAGAAGTCGTTCTTCAATGTCAAATATCTTTATAATTTGCACGGCCATGTTACAGGATATGCCAGGTCACAAAGCAGTACATCCTGGTCTATTGTGCTGCGCTTGGGCTTGTTCTTGTTGCTGTCGTGTCATTATATTCATTTAGAAATTCAATTAGAGCCATAATTGCAGCAAGTGTTTAATGATGATAATGCGTTTACTCCGATAACGTTGGCGGTTGTGATAACGATGACAATGACTTGTGTTATGGCCTCAGAACATCTAATTATGAGAGAGAAACATGATTTACATTTTAAATACCCAACATAGCCAGGGGCTTTTAAACACAAGTTAAATAAACTTCAAAATGTATGCATTTTGTTAAATTACTCGCTTGCTTAGCCAAAAAGAACAACTTTTAATAGACTTCATAATATCTTTACCGTAAACAAGAAAAATGATTAAAAATGATTTATGCAAATTGTGGCATGGCCCAAAAAACCGTTTTCTAGACTTCAATCAAATTTGGTGAACAAGCTTTGGTTAATTATGAAATGTTGCATTATAAATTTACATGACAAGAATGGCTTGCAAACATTTTTAGGGACAGCAACAAAAAATAATTGCAGATGAAGTGGATCAATTCAATTTGGAATTCGTGGGGCACACCTCCTATGAATCGACTTGGTCGAAGTGCGTTGCGCTCATTTTAACAGCTTTGTTTTCGCTTTGAAGCCATTTAGCGAAACATTAACAGTTTTATTGGTTGCTGGGTTTCTGTCGGCTGGAGGATAAGATCCAACACATACTCATGCTCAATTTTTTGCTTTTATTGGACTCTTGATGGTTTGACTTGTCAAGTATTATTTAACCCACCATTAAATAAGGTCTCATAACCTTATAAAACTATTTTAAATTGTAGGCTATAAGGGTTGAACTAGCAACATTGTAGCTCTAAGTAAAACCAAATTTGAAAATATTAGAAGTTCTATAAAAACTTCAATTAATATCCATCAAAACTAACCCACATTTCTGACAGACCGAAATCAAGAATACATGTAACATTGTTTTACGTGGCATTTTTCTACATGAACTTTTTAGCGCCATCTACCAGGAACATTTTCGTTCCTATCCTGTTTCACAACCAGATTTTAAAAAAAACAAGTTTTTGTTTATCGTATTTTTTTTACGATACGATATAATTTAAAATTTTTCAGAAATTAAAAGAATCAAGCGTTGCCAGACTTTAAAATTTCTTTGAAATTTAAAGAATCAAGCGTTGCCAGACCGAAAAAATGCTGTCTCATCTTAAGGGGAAAGGAGTTGTGAAGAAAGTGGTGAGGGGTTGTTGCTATGCAGAATGGGGGTCAAAGAGAAAGACGATGTTGGTGTTACCAGCTCAGGAAAATTATGACTCATGTTCATGAAGAGGAAGAACACATGGCGCCTTGTTTCAAAAATATTGCATCTCTGAGCTTGATAAAAGTGTAGGAACAGAGAAGAACGAGAATGGATAATATAAAAAATAGGAAAAAAAAAGGGAGGGAAGGTCGCAAACAATTTTAAAAAGATAAATTTAAAGCTTTACTCTGCAAAACAGGGCCCAATCATTGGCAATTTTAAATCTTGAATGTATCCTACTTAATCGTTACGCAAATAAGTTTTTTGTCTAATTCCAGCTCTTTGCCCATTTTCTTTTTCACCACTTCACTTCTCATGGCTGGACAATCGTTTAAAAGTTCTCTTTAATAAAAGAAAAAGTCTTCAGTATAAGTTAGACGAGGCGATTTCGGCCGTTATGGCTATAAAATTGAAGATTAGATATTGATATGGATATTGATACCATAATTTGCGAGCCTTCTGCAACCTGCAAGGGTGTTCATCGGTGAGTTTTTGAATTTGAAAAAGTTAATTTATTTTTTAATTTTGCACACCATTGCTTTTTATAAAAGATCGTTATAAAAAGACATTTTTTTTCCCATTGTAGATCCAGGAGTCCGAGAAGTTAAGATATAATTTGTTCTTGTTCTCCTACTTACCCTTGCAAATAGAATTTAGTGCATTGTTAAACTTCATTGACTTATTGGTAGCCTTTTTCGGCCTTATAAACATTTTGAAAGATTTTACAGTAGCTGGATTCCTAAAGAATGAATTTATTAAGTTAAGTGTATGATCTGCTTATTTTCCTACTTACAAATAATGATTGTATGTATTAAACCAGGGTTGGGGTACTTCTTTTTTCTCATGACGTTGTAAGCAATCGCCAAAATCTCCCGAATAGGAACCCAGGAACTCTAATATGTACCTCCCATCTTTGCTTCCAACAACAAAGTGATCGTATCTTGCAAATCTTGTTATATTTTCAGTTTCAAATTTAACATACACTTCATGTGTTTGTGTGCTTGTCAATTGATGAATGATATTATACCCAAGAAAGTAATCTCCGTTCAAATCACCAAAGCCATTACTTAGTGATTGCGGAATGTTTTGCAATGCTTGATGACCAAAGCTACTGGAATGTTGAATAACCATCCAATCCGAGCCAGCAGATGGAATATCTTCGAATACAGCCATGAAGAGACCTAATTTCATTCCAACAACGGTTCTAACTCTGCTCTCTGTTGTTATATTTAGATCCAAGGAAGTTCGTTTCAATTGGTTATCTTTTTCATTGAGTTCAGCTGATGTGATGGTAACTTTCTTTTCTAGTTCGGCAATTTTGACCTTTAGACAATCTTCATCTTTCTTTGAGTTTTCTTTGAAGTTCTCCAAGTGAATTTTCATTTCCTCTACTTTCGATTCAAAATTAGCTATTAGAGCATCCTTTTCTTGAACCTTTGATTCCAACTCAGCGATATATTCTTTATGTAACTCCATTTGATTTATCATGGTCCCCAACTGAATTTTAATAGGTTGACGCTCCTCAGAAATATGGGGCATGTCTTTTGAATCCAAGTTTTCTGGAATTTCTCTAGCACTGTTTTCATTTAACGAGTTCTTTAAGTTAAGCACATAATGTAAATCGTTAATTTGACTTTGCATTTGTTTAATGGTTAAGTTCTTGGTTTCGGTGATCAATTTTATTAAATTGTCCTTTTCTCCAATGAGAACTTCATAAAGTCTTATCTTTTCTTTCTCAGAAACTTCCAGCCTGGCCTCTAGACCTTCGATTTTACGAAGATTGCGTTTATTGATCTCAAAATTGTCATCTCTTACATTTTTAACTTCCCCTTCAGATTCGCTATTAAATTGAACAAAGTAATATTCGCTATAGGATAAAATGTATGTATGTACATATGTATGTATAATTGTGTCTTACGTTGATGATTCCAGCGAAGAACCTTGGGGCTCCTCCGCGGGATTGTTTACGTTTGACGTTTTCATGATGCTGCACTTACATACTTCTCCGCGAGTGACCTTCAATTGTATGATCACTTGTGTCGTACCTTTTTTAAGATGGCGTGGAGGACTGCTTGTTCCTCTTAATTAATAAATTCCTCTTAAAACAATTGTTGATTAAAAGCTGTTTTTGCTATGTTTAAACCGCAACTACACCCAACGGGCTCTTGGTTTGTTAATTCGTCAAAGCATTTGAAAAGTGTCACTTTCGAGATGGTTTGTCTGCCCACGAAATCGTTTTTTCAAGCAACCGTTAGTGTCAGATAAAAGATTTCTGAGCGAGCAGCCGCTGCACTATGGGGAATTTGACCACTTTTTATTGGCCAAAACCCATTTTTTAAAAGTCGTTAAAAATAGGTTTTGTTTATCAGAATGCATCAGGATAACATCAATATCTAATGTTACTAACAGAAAAGTTTAACAGTACGCACCACTTGGCAAACACCGATTACCGTTGCTTTGAAAACATCTATGTTTCGCCAAAAAGTTGAGAGCGTTGAGCTCTACTCTCTCTTCTCTCGCAGCATTTTGCATCTCCCTTTTTCACTGACACTTACGCTGAGGCTATCTCCCTTTTTTACTGACACTTACGGTGGCTTACGTTTTGTTGACACTTACGTTCGCATGACGCCAAAAAGCGTGCGAAAAATATGGTGTTGCAAAATCTCTGACTTCAAAAGTGCCTAGTGCCTTATCGATGGAATAAAAAGGTATTAAAAACGCATAAAATACTAATTACAAGTGGTACCATACAAGTTTTTCTTTTTGAACCGTTACAAATTTTTTTGAACTTGAGTCAAGATCATTGTTGCTTATATTTTACAAAATCTTTCTTCTTTAGTTAAGGAATATGTTCTATATGTTGATAAATGTAGTTACTGCCTGTATAATATATTTTCACTCGCTTTAAAAAAATATTTGGTTTTAACACCTTCAAAAAACAAAATTATTGATTTTTCTCATCTATTAGATACGGAAAAATGTTTCCAACCTTTTAAATAAATAAAATGATTTTTTCTGCCTTTATACATAATTTTTGTTTATTTTCGTTTATATTTTTTATATACAAGTTTACAACGAGATTTCCTTGTCATTCGCTTTGATCGATTCGTTAGCTCATTTTCATTACATATATTTTCATTACATTTGTCTCCGTATATTGTTAAGTGTATAATTAAACTTTAATATTCGTTATTTTATTGCACTCGGTTTATATACAGCTCATGTAAAATTTCGAATTGTTTTTATAATGTCTCTAAAAGAACTTAACTTTAACACATACTTTGTTAGTCACTAAATAAGAAAATTTCACAGAAAAGAAACTTTAACGAAATTAATTTATGTGAAGCCAGCAGTAATTTTATACTGGATTTTTTTTTAGATATATAATTCAACATTCTCAGTGTAAATAATTTTTTTATATACCTATTTACACACTTATGTTTGCTGCATAGAAACTCTTTTTACAAATTACATCTGCTTAAACTATTATTAGTCGGTCGTTAACCTTTATCGACTGAGGATCTAACTTGGGGAAGCCTTTTCTGTAAAATTGCCGCAACGATGAATAACAAAGGATTCCATTTTTTTAGACGATATGTGTAAGAAAAATTATTTCAAGTACTGTAAATATTTCTATATTCGCGTATATAATGTATATCAGCATGCGTATAATATCTGGTAAATATAGGTATTTCATACATTTTCTTCTTTATATTGTGTCTATATCCTGCGTTTACTATATTTGCTTAGTCAACTAACTCGAAGGTTAACCATTAGGTTCTTTGGTTGTCATTTAATTGTTTTTCTTCTTGGGTTTGGTTTGTTCTAGCGGCCAGTGAAGAGCATCAATGTGAATCCTTAGGAGACGACTTTAAAGCTTAAGATTTTGGTATACATAAGAGTCCTATTGCGTTTCGATTATGCCATACATATAAAAAGCCAATAACTGAACAACAGCTGCTAAGAGTTCAACTACAAAACTATTTACACCTAGTCGAAAGGTCGCTTTCGCCTTAAATTCAATTATTTGTCAACTGATATTTGGTAAGATCCACCAGGTGCTCGTATAGCATATCCTCCTGTGGCGTCAGTCCGATCATAATCCATCCCGATATGGCGGCAATGCTCCTCGTAACCGACAAGCTGCTCCAAACACTCTGCACACTGTTGCTCAGCTGTTCGAAATGGGATATATAGATGGTATAGAATTGCAATTTATATGGTCAGTAGGTGATCTCTTACCATCTCCTGTTGCGTAAGCGTAATGTTGGCATTATTGTTGAACAGGTACATCTTCTCGTCGATGGAATCGGAGCAAATTGTTAGGATTATTGTCGCCACATAGATCATGGTGATGATGAGCCAACGGAACGAGATCAGTTCGCTGGCATTCGAGAAGCTCCAGCGGCAGATGTCCATACTGAAGACCAAAAAGATTAGATAATGAATATACGCAATGTTTATATGTTTTTTTGGTAAAAACTTTAACCAACAACTAAGCACACTTAACTAATATCTGAGTTTTTTCACAATTGGAACCTGCAAACTTATTTCTTGAAAATACCTAATAATAGCCAACTCACATTTACTTTGTAACAGGCCGAGGCTACGTCGAATGAACTTGAGCTGACCTTAGAACTAATTGGAGGTTGCCTTACCACATCAAGTGGAGGGCGCATTTTGATCACTGATAAGAAAATGCAAGTGGTGGAATGGAAAAGCACAAGAATCTAAATGTGTCGTCAGTAGAAGAGAATGAAGAGTAAATAACCAAATGTCTGATGTTCTAAAAGCAAATAAAAGCAGATCCCCTACATAAATCTTATTGAACACCTTAAAAGTTGCCATAAGCCATCTGCCCAACCATTTTAAAGGTTAGATGCTCAAGATGTCCAATTTGCTGAATGAAAGTAACCTTTCTTTGAGTTCTTAAATGTCCTGACATTTTATCGCTTGCATACTAATTGAAAGCAAATCCTCCGCATTACTCCAATTGGCAAGGGGCAAAGGTCAGGTCGCAGACTCCACTACCGGGAGATACTTAACATTTAGCAAAGCGACAGCCGCACATAAATCAACTGGCGCTGTGGCGACAGGGCGAAATGTCATACACAGTTTCACACTTCTGCCAGCCGAAAATGGCACAATCCGAGTGGCCAAACAACGGCAGATAGTTCTGTTCTGCTCCGTTCCGACCGCTCCCAACCACCCAACCCACCAGCCATCCAACCACCATTGCCACCCGTACCACCCAGAACCACCCACACACTTGTGCCATCGACTGGCGCAGCCTTTAAAGGTCAAGAGTGCAGGCAGAGTGGTTCGCTTGTGTGTGGGCAGCGACTTTGGCATGCAAAAAGAGCAAAGTTTAAGGGCATTAAAATATTTTGTGGCTGATGAAAGCGACCACGCAATGCGAGCCATACAAATTATTTCTATGCGACCGCGAAGCCGAACAAGTTCTTAAATTGAGGTCACAATTCCATAAAGTTCAAGAAGCGCTCATGCTTTTCGTAGCACACTTTCCAGCGCCTCCAGAGTGACTTTGACACCCCCCAACCCGTCTAGACCAAAAACCAAACCAAACCGGGAGGCTCTCGAGGGTTACCCACATCCGGCTGGCTTCCAGCTCAATCAAACTCGCTGCGAATCCTCCGCCACCTGAGGTCAATGAGTTCTCGAGGCGAACTCCTTCGCCGGGTAAAGGTTCCTATTTTTAGCAGACGAAGGTTGAGCGTGGGCCAAATTGACTTTTAATCAGCCAAAGGACATCGGAAAGACTCTAAGGACACAATTAGAATCGATGAAGGGTCTCAATGCAAGGTAGGTATTAAAGTTTAACCATGTTACTCAAGTCTCACTGTGAAGGGGTTCAGTTGGAACTCACACAAACTAAAAAAATTTAATAGTTGTTTCCATTAAGGGTACATTTTAATCCCCCAAATTCCTTTAAAAGTTCCTAAACTGAACAGCTCTATATACTTCCATTTTAAATTCTACCCCCAGACTCACCGATCGAAAACAGAAACCAGACAGATTATGGCCAAGCAGTAGAAGGTGTTTAAGTATATCTCCGCAAATCCCGCGTAATCCCTTATCAGGGCCATGGCGTCACTGCCTCCCGCTCCGGACGCTGATGAGGATGGGGATCCGCTCGACTCCGTTCCCTGATCGCCAGGATCGAGGTCCATCGCCGATGGCGTCGACGCGGATGGGGGTTGGGCGGTTGATGACATCGTCTCGCCAGCGAGACTCATGCCATTGATGACCTTGGCCCAGTCCATGGGGGGGCTGCTCAGCACGAAGAGTAGGTGGGCCAGGGCTAGACCGGCTAGCAGGCCGTGGCATATATTTGAGATGAGCAGCCAGATTCGTTGAACTACACAGGCTAGTTGTATGTTGCTGGTGATGCCATTGCTGGAAGGGAATGAAATTTGGGTTTAGAGCAAGACCACAAATGATGGTATAATACTGATAAATTATACACTCAGGGAAAAACACCGCGCTTAAATCAAGTACTCTCTTGATTTAAGAACGATTTCATGCTTTCGAGTTTAATACCGTTCGTACTGAAAATAGCTTACATTGAGCTCATTTCGGAGTTAAATATCTCTCAGCTCTACAAATTCAGAACGGCTAATTCTGCTTATTTAACTCACAATTTTTTAGAATTCTTAAGAACGATTCCTACCAAAAATAAAAGAAATGCCTAATGAAGATGAACGTTTAAAAGATACACATTTGGTGGTTGGTCTAACTGCCATTTTATAGAAAAAATTTGTTAGCTTCTTTTTAAAGATTTCTGCTAACATAGATGGCGTATATACGCATTTCTTTAAAATATTTTAACTCGAATAATGTAAAAAAATGTATTGAATAAATTTTCAATATGATAAAACTATACTTTTCAAAAAAATTGAGTATGAGTGATTTCTAAGGAGTATGCCAAAATGGTTGCTCAATGTCTAAATCTTAAAATAACATTTTTGAGCTTTTAATATTTATATTATTTTATTATCTACTCATGTTAACCATTAAACTCACCGATTGGAGTCGCCATTGAGCAGGCAGCGGGCGTCTCCGTAACTGCCACGCCCACTCCCTGAGGCACCGGAAGTCCCGCCCATGCCGGCGCCGCCGTGGGCGTGGCTGCCGCTGGAGCGGAATAGGCGACCGGCGCCACCCAGCTCCGCGGCAGAGATGCCATCGAGGCGACCGCCGCCTCCTCCAC